CACTTATCCCCAGTTCATCCCACCTGCACTTTCACCAGCCATGTTATTTCACTTATGCATAAATCCTTTCTCCTAACTTACCCAGGGATTGAGGAAAATCTATTTCTCTGAGTCTCCCAGGCTCTTCTAATTTCTCTGTCCCTCTTTCCTTCATTCTCCATTTCCTTCTTTCTCCGCCTTACCTCTTTGAGTCAGCCAATATTTGACCTAACCATTGCAACACAATAGTTAAACAACTGTAACTTCCATATAAAATACAAGAAAACCCCATGATCTGGAGTCAGACTTACATCCAAAAGAAAACCAGAGCTGTAAATCTCTCAAATTTCTAAAAACTCCCTCAAGTTCCCTCAGCATCTTTTCAAACCTGTTCTTCTATCTATCCAGCATTCACCCTGCCTTAAAGAGCACACTAAAGATGTGATTTCTCATTTCCCCGAGTTTAAGTGCCACCTGTGTGGCAGGGATATTATTTTATGCCTATAATTTGTTGTAGGCACACATTATTTTGGTTATATTTGGGTATATTAGGATTTTGTGAGCTACACTGGAGACCTAGAAACTGGATGTGACATTGTTACAGAGGATACATTTCTATCCCACAGCTCTGGGGTAAATAACCCACGCCGTGCTTGGATATCACTCATGGTACCCACTCCCTAGTCAATACCAAGTAGCAACATGGGGTAGGAACATCTGGCCCCAATGAGGACCTTCCATGCTAAGTATTTAGAAGGCACAAAAGTGTGGTCCAGTTAGCAAGGGAAACGTCTTAGTATCAGGGTCTGATAAAGCTCAACAATTACCCTTCATCTAGTCAGGACATCTGTCACATGTGCATATGACCAGGCATGGTTCAAGGCTCTGTGAAGAACAGCAGGAAGGACAAACATGGAGTTTACTGTCCAAATAAGTCATCTTACAGAGATACTTAGGGGTATCGGCCATAGTACGGGCTGGGATGGAAAGATAGAGATTGCCACGGGCCTCCAGGGCCTCATCTAGCTGGAGGCTGGAGCATCTGCATAGGCCCAGGCACAGCGGCAGGCAGCCTTTGGGGAGGCCCTGACATGGGGGCTTCAACAGCACTTTTTTCAATCCATCCATGCTAGTAAAATCATTCTGGTAAATACATGTAATCGGGACCAGCAGGTGGTGTGGTGGTTAAGGTGCTGGACATTCCCACATGGCCAACCACGGTTCAAGTCTCGGACCTGGTGGCTTCCTTTCTGACTTCCCCGCTCTCTCTGTGTCTTTCTCTGGTCAAATTAAAATTAAAATAAGTGAAGGAATAAATAAATAAAAATAAATAATTCTTAAAAAAAGAAAAAGAAAAAAAATACATGTAACCATATTTTTACACCTGAGTTGATATATCCCCAAGTGAGTAATCTTTGTCTACTCATTTGTAGGGGAAGGACTCACAAAAATATTAGACTTTGGTTATCCTATCAATTATTGCCATTCTTATATTTTAGCTGTCGATTTATGAAAAAAAAAAATTGTATATGGGCATTTGAGTGAACCCACTGTTATTATTAACAGCTTTAAATGTTATTCTTGTTGATAACAATAATAGTAAGGGATCATACATAAAAATACCTAACTTGATATCTGGCATACAGGGGTCATGAGATAAACATGAATTGAATCAAGAAATTCTTTACAGCGTAAAAGTGAGAAATGATATAGTAGAAAGAACTCACAACTGTGTGAAGATAATAGACAGGATAATCTGCCACAGAATGGAGACATCTAAAAAGCAGGCGACTGAACTCGTAGAGTAATAGACCCATCTTCCTTTCTTTTTCTAGTTTTTGGTATAGGGCATGTGCCCTTGCCAGAGAGACAGAGAGAGAGAGGGAAAAGGAGAAATCTCCCCCCAGGGAGGATGGCCATGCCACAGTCCCTTCTTCTCCATTCTCCTCAGGAGTTTGGGCACGCACACATATACACCTGGCGTGATTCAAGCTGCCAAGCCTGGGACTTGATCTGCAGAGTCAGCCATGTGGGATCCAGCAGCCTTAAACTCCATGCCACCTGCTGGCCTAATAAACCAATTTTTACCTCAGGTTTTTTTTTCATGTCTTATTATATTTGTGGAGGCATGTGATCCAACCTGTAACTTGTTCTTACTTATGTACTAGCAAATTTTATTATAGTGAAATTCTACTGTTTTATGGGCAATAAGAGAAATAAAAGTGAAGAATCATAGGGGACAGCGGGTGGTATGGTAGTTAATGCACTGGACTCCCACATGGCTAACTGCAGTTCAAGTCCCAAGCCTGGTGGCTTGCTATCTCACTTTCCCTTCCTCTTTCTCTCTCTGGTTAAATCTATTTAAAAAAAAAAAAAAAAAAAGATGACTAAAATTAAATAAAATAATTCTTTACAAAAACGAAGAATCATATAAAGTATATTTAAATGGAAAGTTTTACATGAAATTATGTGGGCAGTTATTTAATATATGCCCAACATGACTGTGATGTTTTAGAGTGTTGGTCAGCAAATACTCATCTCCCTTCCACTCTCCCGGCCACAGACTGGGCTGCTCTATTCCCTTGACCACAGATGTGGCCATCTGACTTGCTTTGGGTAGTGGATATCATGTAGGCAGAGGCTTGTAATATGCTAGAGTAGTTGTACTTGCCCTCTGTACTCTTGCATTTTGTCACAAATAGAAAATTCCTTAGGTAGCTGTCAGTCCAAGAAGGATAAAATACACATGATGCAGACCTGAACCCAACTACAGCTTCGAGCCAGATCAGCTGGCATCTGCCTGCCCTCAGCGGTGAACTGACCCACAATATGCTCACTGTTGTTTGACATTGAGTTTTGAGGTGTTTTGTTATGCAGTATTATCATAATAGCTGACTGTTACAATATACAACATCTCATATTTTTGTTAGAGAATTTTGTTTCAAATTAAAGATAGACAAAACTGTTATAAGCAAAATATCTCCAAATAACCTCTAATTTTAAAGTGAAAGATGTTATAAAATGTATTATCTTTTGAATTGAAAGCATCGTCCTCTCGAGTTGCCCATAATCTGTGAGCAACCTCTGCTAGATAGCCGAACTTCCCAAATGCCAGCAGCATTGCATTGCCCAGGCTTTCCTGAGCCTGTAATGGAAAAGCTCACCTCACAGTCTAGATACTAACAGCTAACATGAAGAAGGCTGGAAAAATACTATGTGGGGTCTAAACATTTCAATTTGTTCGCCTGAAAGTGATTATTGTTTTGGCATGCATATTTTAAGAGGGCAGAAGACCTCAACCCTTTAACAGTTGCAGGTCCAAGTTTTGCCTTTTCTGGCAGGCTGACTCTTTGTTGTGCCAGACAGCCAAGATTCATGTTTCACAGCAGGTGGGAGCCTCAGTAATTTAAGCAAAATTTTGGCTCTTTCAGCCAAGGAAAATGCAGCTCACTGAGGAATTTCATATTAGAGGGTCTTAACAGAGAGGAAATCATAGCCACAAAGTTAGCATCCTAGCGGAGGTAGGTAGGAAGGACCCTAACCCTAGCTCAGTGTCCTCTGAGCATTCCACAGTGGAGGGCCAGGGAATATGGGAGAACTTTCTAGATGTTGTTACCTTCAGAGATGCTATCTGAAAAGTATTATGACTGATTTGTCCTAGCAAGATTGGTCATCACACTTCTTTTCATTTTTGGATCAAAATAGATTTGCATAATTTCTTCAACCAAATTGAATATCCTTGCCATTTATTTTACTTTGAAAAATTTCTTTTCATATTGTCTCATAAACAGGTGAAAAATAGGCTTGATGAATTATACATTTTGTGGTAAAATTGTTAAATCTTACCTGGAGAGTGAGTCTACAGCACTTTATTTCTTTGTGAAAAAGTAAAAATGCCCATTCAGTGTCAAAAATAACATATAGTAGGATCAGCTGTTAGCGTAATGGATATGTTGCTGGACTCCCATGTAGTTGACTGCGCGGTTCGAGTCCTGGACCCGGAGGCTTAAACTCACACTGGGCACATGTGCGTGCGTGCCCAAGATCCCAAGAGGAGAATGGAGGAGAAGGGATTGCGGCGTGGCCATCACCCCTGGGTGGGGGGAGAGTGATTTCTCACTGTCTCTCTGTCTCTCTCTGTCTTCCTGGCTAGTGCACGTGCCCTATAGCAAAAACCTCTTTTAAAAAATAAATAAATAAATAAATAACATAGTACATTTTATTCATTTAATAGTGTCACTAATCGTAACATTGATGAAGAATAGAATAGCGTGTGTAATTACTTCTGTAGTGTTTTTGAGAAATAAATAAATAAATGGTACAGACATCATCCAAATGCTCTCACAAAGGGAAATCTTTCACCACTATTTCGTGATTTTAGTCCCTTTGGGTAGGTCTTAACACATTTAAGTTCTAAAAATCAGAATTCGAATCTTTCAAATTATCTGTTAACTGGCAGAATGTTCAAGCCTTTAAATCTCAAAAAAAAAAAAAAGAAAGAAAGAAGGAAAGAAAAAGAAAAATTTCCTTGAAATCAACCTAGTGCGGCATCTAAATATGAAAATATTAGAATCCTTGTGTGCATGATTTTTTTTTAACCATTTTTCTTTCATCTCTTAGGAAGAATCTGTGTACATTGCAAACTTTGGTCATTTTGTTTCCTTAATACATGCGACAAATAAGGAAGAAAAACAAGATAAAAGCTTTTATTCTAGACAGTTTCATTCAGCATAATTTCAACTTTCAAATTACAGGAACATAAATGAATGTCCTACTTCTGCGTTAAAAGTACTTGACTACTTTGTGGGATGTTTTGTGCCATTTCTTTACTAAATTATCTTGGTCGCCGTTGCTAGGTAACACCGCTGGCTTCGCGCTGCTGAAAAATGAGAGGGTTAGAGGGAACAATTCGGCATTATCAGCATTTGACTAATAAGGTTTCTTGGTTTTTTTTTTTTTTTTCTTTCTTTCTTTTTTTTTTTTTTAACTGTATACCTTCAGCGTTTTCCCTCCTTTTCCAGGGAATGTCATTGTCTATGGGAATACAATCGACACTTACACCACAGTGGAAACTCTCTTGAACATCGGTGTGAGAGGCAACTGCATCCACCTGGTGCAACCTCCGCCCACCCAGACCTTCACCTGCTTCAACAACTACTCGGTGGAAAAGGCCGTGGAGAATGCGCTCAAAGCAGCCGGGGTGGCCACCTACCAGGACGCGATCTTGGCCCAGTGGAACGACGGCGCGGACCCAGACCCCATTCACAGCGCCAGCTTCACCACACCCACCAAGCCTTTCAGACTCCAGTGCGCTGTGAGTGTGCCCCTGCGGTCTTCACTCGCCCGTGAGACCATCACCTTCCAGAAACTGGGGAGTCTGAAAGTCATGGACCGTGAATTTAGTGTCATGGATTTGAGGTTTTGTTTTCTAGCCGTTCAGGTTATCCCTCACCACCCCTAACTCAGGGGCATCAAAGGACAGTCATGTGTTATTCTCTTTCCTGGTCCTGGCGTGTGCCTGGACACAGATGGGCAGTTCTCACTGGGGGTCTCTCAGGGGGTTGAAGTCAGACAGTGAGTAGGGCTGGAATCTTCTAGAAGGCGTGTACACTCATATGTCTGGTTGTCGATGCTAGATCAACTTCAGTTGAGATTTTGGCCAGAACACTTACCCATTTCCAGGAACTTCAAGGTACTTCAAGGGACTGGGCTTCCTCAAAGTATAGTGGCCAAACACCATAACCTGAGACTTCGCTAAATTCACTTAGTTTTGGTAGTTATTTTCTAGATACAAAAGCATATAATGCAAATGGTGTCCTTTTACTTCTTTTCTGATAATAAAGCTCTTTATTTCAGCTTTATCTCACTGGCTAGGAACTCCAGTATAGAGCTGAATAAAATGAGAAAAACAGATTATTCTTTGAGTCAGCCCCACAGCACTGTGGGTAAGCACCGTGCATTGGGAGCTGGATCCTACATGGCTGGCTGGGGTTGGAAACCCAACCTAGGGACTTGAAAACAGGTGGATGAGCCCCAGATCCTAACGGGATGGAGAAAAAGGAAGTGTGGCTTAACCATATCCCATTTACAGGTTTTCTCTCTCCCCTACCCCCACTCTTAAGTGGTTCTCAAAATAAAGTTTAAATTAAAAAAAAAAAAAAATAGACATTCTTGCCTTGTTTAGCATCCCAGGAAAGAACTTTCAGGCCTTTGTACAAGGGCAGTTAACTATGGGTTTTTCTTTTGGTGCCTTTTATCACACTGAAAAAGTAACTTTTCATTCTTAGTTTGTTCAGAAATTTTATCATGAATGGCTGTTAAGTTTTGTCAAATGAATTTTGCATCTCTCTTAAAAGTTGTATTCTTTTCTCCTTAATTCTTTAATTCAGTGAGTTACTTTGAATTTTCCAAATATTTAGCCCAAGTTACATTTCTGGAACAAATCCTAGTTGGTTATGATGTATAATAATCCTTCTCTATGTAGTTAAATTTCATTTTCTAATATATTTAAAGCATTTTTGGACAGTTTAAGTAATTATTATTGATACTATTTCAGTTTTTCCTGTAGGACATGTGCACTCACCAGAGAGAGACAGAGACACACATGAAGAGAGAAAGTGACAAATTACCCCCAGAGAAGATGGCCATGCTGCAATCCCTTCTCCTCCATTCTTCTCTTAGGGCTTTGGGCACACACACATACACACACACACGCACACACACACACACACACACGCCCATTGTGGTGTTTTTTCAAGCCACTGGGTCAGTACTTGGACTGTGAAGTCCGCCATGTGGGACCCAGTGCCCTCACAACCACGCCACCTGCTGGCCCCAACCATTTAAAAATATTTTATAATATATATATATTGATCTATAATTTTTGTTTTTTTCTTTGTAAGGTTTTAGTATTTGGGCTCTGTTGACCTCATAAAGTAATTTAGGCACTATTCCGTCTCTCTTTATTTTCTGAAAAAGTCTGTATAAGATTAATATTATTTATTCCTTGACTATTTGATTGAATTAACCAGTGAAGCAATGTGGGCCTGGAGTTATATTGTGGGAAGGATTTTGAAAACAAATTGAATTTCTTTACTAGATTAAGGCTCTTCAGATTTTCTGCTTCTTCTTATGTCAATTTTGGTAAGTTGTATTTTTAAAAGAAATCTGACCATTTCATTTAAGTTGGTCAAATTTATTGGCATTAAGGTTTTTATATATTATTATCTATTTAACATCTAGGGTCCATAATAATAACCCTTATTTATTTCTGGTATTGGTGAATTGCATTCAATATTTTTCTCCCTTGGTCTCAGTCTGTTTCTTTCTCTGAGTCTGTGTATCAGACTAGGTAGAGATTTGTCAATTTTATTGATTTTTTTTTCAAATAACCAGCTTTTGAGCATGTTAATTTCCTCTATTATCTGTCAGTTTTCTCTCTCTCTCTCTCTCTTCCTTTCTCTCTCTCTCTCTCTCTTTTTTTTTTTTTTTTTTTTTTTTTTTGTTGTTTTTTTTTTTTTTTTTTTTGTGGTGTTTTCTTTCTTCTTTTTTTGGAGAGGTTTTTGCTATAGGGCACGTGCACAGAAAGCGAGAAATCACTCCCCAAGGGGGATGGCCATGCCGCAATCCTTTCTCCTCCATTCTCCTCTCAGGATCTTGGGCACGTACGCACATGCGCCCGGCATGAGTTTAAGTCATCAGGTCCGAGACTCAAACCGCAGTCAACTACATGGGAGTCCAGCGATATAGCCATTATGCCAACTGCTGGTCCCTATGTCAGTTTTCTCTTTCACTGATGTCTGTTCTTAAAAATTCTTCTATTTTCTTCTGCTTGCTTTGGATTTACTTTGCCCTTCTTTTCCAAGTTCCTTAAGGTAGAACCATAGGCCACTGATTTATATAAACGTTAAGTAGTAACTGTCCTCTGTATTTCAGCTGCATCCTACAAATCTTAATATGTTGACTTTTTCTTATTGTTCATAATCTTTTCTAATCTCTCTGTGATTCGTCATTGACCCTTGAATTATTTAGAAGTGTGCCTAATATTCAAATATTTGAGGTTTTCCCATATACTATGTTTATTTGATTTCTAATTTAATATTGTTGTAGTCAGAAAACACATTCTTTATTATTTCAATCATTTAGAATTTATTGAGACTAGTTTTATGTCTAGGAATATGGAATATTTGTTAACATGTAATGAATAAATATTCTATGCTTATTGGCTATTGTGTTCTGTAAATAACAATTAGTTCAATGTGGTTGATAGTGATGTTTGACTAGCCTATGTCTTTACTGATTTTTTTTTTGTCTAGTTCTATAAATTGCTGAGAGATGGATATTAGAATCTCTTATTATTATTGTGCACATTTCTGTTTCTCCCTTTAATTCTATAAATTTTGCTTTGTCTTTTCTGGGACCCTGATATTAAGCCCATGGACATGTATAATTGCTATGCTTCCTCATGAATTGTGCCTTTTACTGTTATAAAATTTCTCTCTTTATCTCTGATAATATTTCTTTTTTTTTTTTTTGAGAGGTTTTTGCTATAGGGCGCATGCGCTCGCCAGAAAGACAGAGACAGAGAAATAGAAAGTAAGAAATCACCCCCCAGGGGGGGATGGTCATGCCGCAATCCCCTCTCCTCCATTCTCCTTGGAATCTTGGGCACACATGCACACGTGCCTGGCATGAGTTTTAAGCCACCGGGTCCAGGACTCAAACCGTGGTCGACTACATGGGAGTCCAGCGACATAGCCATTACACTAACTGTTGCTCTCTCTGATAATATTTGTTGCCTTAATATCATTTATCTGATATTAATATAGCCTTCCCATCCTTTTTATTTCTTTTTTTAATTGCCAGAAGGCATATGAGCTCACCAAAGACAGAGAGAGAGAGAGAGAAAGAGAGAGAGAGAAATCACCATCCAGTGGGGTGTAGTCATGATAAAATCTCTCTCCTCTATTTCTCTATTTAATCAGGATTTGGGGCACAAACACACATGTGCCTGGTATGTTTTTCAAGCAAGCAGAGCCAGGATTTGAACCATGATCAGCCATGTGGGATCTGGCTCCCTAAGCACAGGACTTGACCGCTGTGCTACAGGGCCAGTCCCCCGTCCCATCCTATTTATGTTTATTGTTTTCATGGTATAGTTTTTCCATCCATTTATTTCCCACTTACCTGTGTTTTCATGTTTAAAGTATGCCTCTTACAGGTATTATAATTGTATTAGTATTTTACTGCTAGATAACCAACTACCTCACACTTAGCAGCCTAAAACCATATCCGTTTACTAGCTCATTATTCTGTAAATCTGAAGTTCTGACAAGGTATGGTTGACTTCTTTGCTCAGGGACTCTCCAGACTAAAATCAAGGTACCAGGCTGACTGTGTTCCATTTGGAGCTTGGAGTTATCTTCCAAGTTCATGTGGTTGTGGTAGAATTTAGTTCCTTGCATCTGAGGAATGATGTTCCATTTCCTTGCAGGGGCTGCTCTCAGCTCCTAGAGGCCAGCTACATTCTCTGCTGCATCATATCATTTATCTTCAAGCAGCGATAGGGAATCTCCCTCATGTCAAATTCCCGTCATGCTCTGAATCTCCTTCAGAAATTGGCTAGCTCCCCTTTTAAGGACTTAGATCAGATGCACCAAGCATGCTCTCTCTCTTTCTTAAAAAAATAATTATTTATCTATTTTAATTTTTACTATAGGGTGCATTCCTGTATGTGCTTGAGAAGCTGCCAGGTCTGGGACTTGCATTGTATGTCAGCCATGTGGGGTCCAGACACCTCAGCCACCACTCCACCCGCTGGCCCAACCTCCCTTTCATAAAGTAAACATAACCTCATAGAATTCACAGTTCATGTGCACGCTCAAAGGAAGAGGTGTGACTTGGGAATCATCTTAGGATTCTACCTACCACATGCTTTTTTATTCTTTATGACTACCTCTGTTTTAATTAGTCTCTAGACCACTGGTATCTATTGTAACTTCGGATATGGTTAGACATAACTCTTCTATGTTATTATCTTTTTACTCTTTTTACTGTCTGCTTTTGTTCTTCTGTTCTCTCTTGCCTGCTTTTTTTTGGATTATTGGAGTATTTTTTAGTATTCCATTTCAATTGAGTTTTGGGCCGTATCTTTTTTTTTTTTTTTTTTTTTTTCGAGAGAGTCTTTTTCTT